GAAACCACCTCTCTCAATTACTTCAGTATATAACATATGCAAATTTATTTCACGGCCACTTATTTTTGGCGTATGCATAATAGGAGTGCTATAAATATTTAATAATGAATTGAAATGAGTGATTTTTTAACCCACAGACTTACCCCCTGCGATCATGGAACTGTTGTAAGTCTTTATAGAACTCATCCGGCGCTTTGATAGGCATTTTACCTTTAACGGAATGTGTAACATTTTCCAGTTTTTCATTATTTACAAATATATCCCGAGACGAAGCAGGCGGTCTGCCTCTAGCTGGTGTAGCATTATTTTGTGATTTTGCCGGTGAGCTTATAGTGTTTTCTATAGCGGGCAAAGGCTGCAATGCCTTAACAAGTTCATGGACCGACATATCTACTAATTTATGATAAATTTATCAAGTTTTTATATTTTTGTAGCACAAAAAAATGGTACCAAAAACTATTCATGTAAGTCTGCCGCGAAATAAGAAAGCGTAATGGTGGTGGCCTTGCTAACATATAGTGTTGTAAAGTGCAATTTGTTTTGTAATAAGTGCTTTGATTCGTACATTAAGTAAATTAATAGAACGAACATTATCGACACAACAAATTAATAAGGGTATTCAAGAGCTTCGTGCATCGTCGCATGTGCAAAATTGTTTGATTTTACAAAAACAGTTCCCTTTGTTTTGATTCTGCAATTGATTTCCAAGGCAATACGCAAGACTATGTTTTCGATACCACTTACCTCTTGCATATGTGATTTTCACGACTCTATTATGTATGATACTATTTTTTTACAATACTTTAGCCAATACTTTAGCGAAACTGTTAAGTTTTGTTGACAATTGTTTGATTTTGAATCTATTTTACGTCCAAGAAAGTACTATATTATACATATAAATGCACAAATCTAAATTACCCAATAATTCTGCAAGAGCAAAATCTAATACGGCGTTTACATTGGGCGAAAATGGCTCATTTTGGTCAAAAATCGAAAATGAGTATCGAATGGCTCATTCTTGCATATAAAATTTCAAGCACAAAAATGAGCAATTTTCTCACATTCTGTATGAATGACGTTCGAATGCATTCCACATACGTTCCAAATGCTAAGGAATCCATTGAACATACCCTAAATGAAAGCTCTTCATGGCATTTTGACAGTTTGAAAAAGCTGTTTTTAACATATTCACAAAAAAAGGTAAACAAATGTTTGGTGGTTGCATTTTCTTGAAAACGATGCACTGCTTTTTAGAACTTTTACTTCCCAAAATAATTATCGAAGTTAAAAATATGTTTTAAGTTTCTAATGTAAGGTTTGAAGGCATATTTAACCTTCATGCAACATTTTTTTGGCACAGGCCAAAAATCAAATCAACATGCAAGCCATTTTCGGCCAATGTAAACGCCATATTACGGTCTCAATTTGTACTTTACTTGTGTTTTACTTAAGTTTTACTACGAATATCTTGTGGAATGAACCTTATGTAATAGTATTTTATTATAATATCAATTAATGCATTTTCTAAATTAACTCAATTCAATTAACTTCAACAATTAGTTTAACTTTCAATACACACAATTCTGCAAAATAGTGCGTAGAAAGAAAACAATTATTTAGTTATTGCCTCCAATTGGGAGAAGAATGCTTCCATATATTTAAGTGTGGCCGCCATGCATGCAAATGTTTATAAAAGAAATAGAAAATACGACGACATATTACTTATTCCAAGACTTGTATCTAAACATAACGTGTGATAATTTGAAAGCGACCATGTTATGCAGGGCCATGTTATGCAGAGTGTCTCGGGCACGGCATGAGTACAATTGTTGTTGTTTTCAATGCAAATTTTAAATTTGAGAATGAGAGAAAAAACAATATGGCCGTTCAAACTCCGGCATGAGAGCCGGCGTATTTGTGCCCCGGCACTAAGGCAAAACAGTGTTGTTTAGAAATAAATTTCAAAATTTTCGCCTTTTAGGAGCAAATTACTGCAATTCCAATACGTTTTGGAGAAAAAATGGCAGTAAGCAATACAGCATTTTTTTATAAATCGCTAATAATACTGTTCTGTTAAATACTGTTAACAATTATTATAAGATAATATAATAATAAATTAATATTATAACATCCTCTATGAGTTTTTTCTTGCTAGTTATTTTTGGGGGCAAATTGAAAGAGAGGATATCTTAATTTCCTTTTAAATTTAGGCACAACCAAGAAGTAGTAAAAATACAAAATTGGCAATACTGATGTGACACTCTGCATACCATGGCCCTAACTCAGATACATATTTTGAGTGTCGCAGATAGAAACGAGAAAAGCCATGAAAAGTAGATTAAAAATATATAATTGCTTAATGACTAGTAAAAAAGTTATAAGGGTTACAAAATTATAAGTTTGCCCAATTTTAAAAACTCGTAGCGATTCTAGAATCTAAATTAAAAAATTATAAATAATCTGAAAACTAATGGTCCAATTTACACTATCATGAACGTAACATGAACATAAACTTGAAAACCGGTTTCCGATAGATGAGAGAGGGAATAGAGCGTGATGTGAGTTTATGAATTTGAAGGAACGAAAACTACTGCGTTTTTTTAGCTTGATATGCATACATATACAATTTTATGTTTATGTTATATACAATTTTTATTTTGAAATCTAGTCGTGTTTTAAGCAGCAAGCTCCGAACACCTTTTTTAATTTCTGTGCTATTTACTACTACACACAAGCATTTTATACGTTTACACAAAACAAAACAAATTTCACGATGCATGACAGTTCATGATAGTGTAAACTGAACTGTCAGTTCATGTTGTCGTCAAGTTCATCTTACTTTCATGATAGTATAAATAAACCCAATGGGGGTTATATAATAAATATGCTTACTCTAATAAAAATTATAAATTTTTTTAAAAACAATAAACAATTTTTTATGAAATTTTGTTTTGGGCATGGCTGTTTCAGTGGGCGGAATATCATGAAACTTATTTTGAACCTTAATGACATAGCACAAATGTTTAGTACACCAAATTTCGTTTTTCTCCCTATTATAGTTTTTGAGATATTCAAAAAAATATCGTTTGAAAGGGCTCCAAATACATCCAAAAAAAGCCCATCATAAAAACTATATTTAAGGAAAAGATAGAGATGGCATTAGAGATGTTTCATTTCAATATCGCTACTGGTTTAGAAAATACCGAATTGTGAGTGTCTAATTTTAAATCTGCGACACTGTGTGGTCAATAGAATATTGAATACAAAAATGTTTTTATTTGTGAATAATTAAAATAAAACTAGTATAAAATATATAAATAACATAAACACTTCGAATTTTCAAATATAGACAATAGTACCTCCTAAATTTTTTCTTTGTAATTTCTCATTTGCCCACTTGCTATAATCATTACTCTGCGCTCTGTGTCGGGTTCAACCGATGGGAAGAGCTGGAATGCATTTACAGTAGTTTGAGATTAATCGATACCAGCTTATTTGCAATATTCCTTTAATTGCATTTTTATCAATAAAATCTTTTTTTATCTTTCGATATAACCGAAATGTCCCCATATAATTGAAACCTGTTTCTTTGAAATATCCTTTTAATTGAACATTAAAAACATTTATTTTGAAGCATACATTAATAACTCTAAAATAAGAAAAGTATAAAGTAATCATAGTATATTTGTTTATATTTAAAAATTGGAAAAATGGACGAAGTCGGAGCCTAACCCTAAATAACAAACTTTTTTCTAACAATCAAAACTATGTATTGCAAAATATGAGAAAGAGTACATACATAATCTATTTTAAATAAATAAATGTTTTTTTCATTATTTTTATTTTTTCATTTTCTTTTGAAAAGCTCGTTTAACTGCAATTTCGTTTCAATTATTCATATATTATCCATATTCTTAATTAAAACAAAGTTGCACATTTCCGAATACTTGGTTTTTTGAATTTCTCGCTTGCAATTAAGCGGGGACTACTGTACAACTATTGAAACTCAATAATCGTCTCTGACATCTATTACTAGCGAGAGCTTTCAGCTTCACATACAAGTATACGGTATATTCTTTATTTATTTCCACGGTAATGTTTAACTATGCTATAGTACACTTATACCTTTAGGACAATTGCTACCTCAATGGCTAAACGTTTTTGAAATTATACCCGTATATTGATTGGTTTCAATTGCCTCCTATGCTCATTCACGCTTGGCCCCTTAAGTCAATACAACCTAATCTCGCAACATAACTTTTTGATTTCGTTTGCCAGATTTTACAAAGGATCGTGAAATGATTGAGTTAGTGAATTTATATTAATTAAATTTTTTGTAATGGCAATTGTACTTAATGTGAACATTTTAAATAACCGTCATTTGATAATAAAACATTCGGTCACTTAAGCGTCGTTCAATTCTATTCTAATTGTTACGGCTAATTTTTATATGTAATTGATTTGGATCAAAATGATTGTTATTTCAATATCAAAGTCAATTTTTGTGATGTAAAAAATTTTTTTAAACGCAGAAAGTATTAATGTAGCGATAACATAGTGTGAATTAATTTTCTTCTAAATTTACTACTTAGTCCTAGTGATCAGTTGGACATAGAAATTCGCTTACTAGAAATTGTTTACTTTACCAATTCATTTTGCAATACATCTAACTTTTTGTGGTTTGTTCATAACAGAATTGTGTTCCATTATTACTACTAATCCAATAAGTATGTTTAAATTTCGGTCTCCACACGCCATGAACTATAAAATAATAAACAATGAATTCATTTTAATAATTTTTATTATATTAATTTTAATGTTTAAAATAGCACATACAAACCAATAATTATAAAAAAAAATTGAGATTGTTTAGAATTATTAAAGGTGTTTAGTAAATCTGTAAACAGCTATATATATACATTGTATATTTGCTATTTTTACTTTTCTAACATTGTTTTGGTGATATGATAATCCTTAAACACAAATGTAATTTATCAACAAAAATGAAAAATAGTTATACTTAAAACGAAACGTATGTGCTGAAATATTTTATGTTATTTAATCTTCGTTGTCAGTATACCATGACAAACGTTCTTCGTAGAACTTAATAACCATTTGTGGTATTTTTAAATTAACCACAGATGCAGGAATCATTTCGGCTTGATCGACTCCTCTAAACTGAATAAGAAAAGTTAGTGAACCATTGGAGTCCGAGGCACCAAGAATTTTTTCAGCAACTAGACCTTTATCAAAGCCATACACCTCATTTTGCCGTAAAGACCCTTCAGATGACCCATCCTTTTCGGATTCACGACGCTTCTTCTTATTTGTTGAACTGCTGCTACTTGTGCCGGAGTCTTTAGCTTCACGCTTGTTGCTGGTCGAACTTGATGGACGATTTGACGTATCTTTTGGTTCAGGCTTTTGCCCAGCACCGGCTTCGTCCTTTGTACGTTCGGCCTCATATTGTTCTATTAAATCTTGACAATCTAAATTCTTTTCAGGCT